TAAATATAAATTGGTTTATCTGGGCCAACTGTGTGGCCTTAAACACCCAAAAGGAAAGTATAAACAAAGATTAAAGGGGCCAATATAATTTTTTAAGAGTCCATATGCATAGCTAAAGGCTACGTAACAAGCAACAATGCCAGATAGGAGATACCTTCTTTTGAGTTGTTGGCCAGGGTGGCCAAAGGGACTCCCAGATAGTAACCCAGCATAGAACTGGGAAAATGAACAGCAGACCCCAATCTTGTCTAAAGGAATATTGACAACTGATTGCTACTAGATGAGGAACAGCTGACCTTCATAAAACAAAGACCTCTAGATAGGCTGACTAGATTCACCAGATGGACAAGTAGTGGGTAACGGCTGGGGGTGCCAAAACAACACAGCAGACAGTAGCAGGTATATCAGAGTACAAGGGCTCTAGTCGGGGGAGGAAGGCTATGGGAGGGTGCCATCTGGGAAGTGGGTGTATAGTTGAGTAAGATGGTTTGGGATGATCTGTGTAATATACACACAAAAAAAATCAAAATTTAAGAAGTATATTTGAGGAGGAAGCATAAAAATTTACATCATGTTAATTAGTAGAGGTGATAAACATTACCACTGAAATCTACCCAATGACTTTATAGACATACACAGGCTCCAAGGATCCAAGTGCAAACGATTATGACTATTAATAATCAGATACATACATATTAGAGATGCATGCGCCAACATCTCAGTGTTAGTAGCAAAACCAATGAGTCTTTCTGCAAGAAACAATATATTCAATGAAATGGAGATCTTTTTTAAAGGTTAAAAACTCATTCAATTTTATTTCTTATAGGGCTTATACTGAATTCAATATTTTATAGCTATTAATTCAACTGTGAACCTAGAAACTTATAGCCACTTGTCAAAGAGTTGTACTTTTTCTCTGGAGTGTGTTACTGAATAAGTTAAAGCTGTAATGAAATGCTTCTTCTAATTATGTAGTTATTAAAAATTTAAAAAAATCTTTTAAAAATTAAAAATTCATTTTTAAGAAAAAAAGAATGACCTATATTTACTATATTTAAGAATATTTAGGTTTGCAGGGATGGTTCAGTGGTTAAGAGCACTGGCTACTCTTGCAGAGCACCCAGGTTCAATTCCCAGCACCTACATGGCAGCTAACACTGTTTGTAACTCCAGTTCCAGGGAATCAGACACCCTCTTCTAATCTCCATGGGTATCATATGACATGGGTGCAGTTACATACATGCAGGCAGTACACTCATACACATGAAAAAAGAAAAATTTTTTTTTCTAAAAAGAAAACTTAGCTGGGCATGGTGGTGCACACATTTAATCCTAGCACTTGGGAGGCAGAAGCAGGGAGATCTCTGTGAGATTGAAGCCAGCCTGGTCTCCATAGCAAGTCCAGGCCAGCTACAGAGAGACTGTCTGAAAAAGATCAAAATAATAATAATATCATCATCATTATCATACTTAATTATAAAACAATTGCCTGGATTCAAAATCTTGAGAACCAAACAGTGAGGAAGAGTTTTGTGAGTAGGAAGTAGTTTGGTAGGTACCCTCCAGATGAGTGCCCAGGGAGTTAAAGCACTGGGCACGAAGGGATGTGAACTACCTTAGATATTGTCCTGCTGGACCCTCTGGGCTGAGCTAATCATCAAAGCTGTCCACATAGAGGCCTGCAGCAGCTTATATTGTCAACTGAAACCAGTATCCAGGGAAGTAGCATCACCTCAGGCAAGGCAGCCCTCTCCAGCTCCAGTTTTTCAGGAAACTTAGGAGGGCCATTAGTAGCCCACACTCCCAGCAGCTGGGGCAGTTAAGCCTTAGACCTGAAGTGGATTCTGCAGGGCACCACAATGATATGTTGAATATCTAAAGTTCTGCAACAAAAGAAATATCACAAATTGTTATCAATCAACAGCAGGTTCACAGAGTTCCATATCCAGAATTGCTGTGTAGTTTATGGGTCACAGTACCTACCCCAGGTACAGCATAACTGCAGACTCGGCATTCTCCCCAATGCGCCACACCATTGCAGCCTCTTCTTCCTGGTGTTTCTTTCTTCTGTTCAAGGCAAGACTGCTAGCACAGGAACCTTTCCAAAGCTCTGCAGAGGAAATGCTGCAGTCTTCCCTTTGGGAACATGGTCCAGCCTTGTCTTTGGAACACGACACAGTAACTGATTTCTTAAATGTTTTGTTTTTTCATGAACACAGAAAATGCTAATTTGTATAGTTCAGGGGGACCTTTTGAACAAAGTTTTTATACAAGTTATAGGCCGAGTTCCTTCCCAAGATACACAAATGTAATTATATGTGTTGGCATAATCATTAAGCTTGTACAAATCTGTGTTTGACTTATGCCACTATATATAGATAAAACTCCATGTCCTTGGGCAAATGAATTAAACTTCCAGAGCCTCAATCTTCTGTTGCATAACCGCCTCATAAAGTCATTAGGATTAGATAAAAGGATATGTACCAAGGTCCAGATATAGTCTCCATTTATGTATATCTGCATATCCTTGTTTCTGACTTGTTATTTCAGTGGGCAAACTAGAGAAGTAGGTAATTAGAAGGAAAAGCATAGGACTCAGCTAATACAATTGAAATCTAGAATCAAAAGAAAAAAATTCTTGTTTTTTTTTTATAATTTAATAATGAAAATGTTTAATCAATACAAAGTGGGATAGCTTTTTAAAATTTTGTTTTTTTTTTTGAAACAAAGTTGGTAGATTATAATGAAATTTTACTTGTAGATTTCATATAAATGGATTAGATATGCATGGATATATAATCATACCCTGTAATTTATTTCTGAAAAAAAATTACAAATTTTGGTAGATATAACTGTTCACAACTTTTTCATTTTTCATTTTGGAAGAAAATCAGAAAAAATAAGGTGTAATAATCCACAAAATTCTAACTTCTAAGAGTATAATAAAATTTAAATTATTCTACCTGGCCAAATTGAACTACACCATCAAGTACTTAGAATCTAAATGGCATAAGTAGAGTTAATAATCAAAGGAGCATTAGGAACATTTCCAGTGCTGGAGAGATGCTCAGCAATTAAGAGCACTGGCTGATCTTGGAAAGGATCCAGGTTTGATTCCCAGCACCCACATGGCAGCTAATAACTGTCAGTAACTCCAGTTTTAGGGGATTGGAAGCCATCTTCTGACCTCCACAGGCATTGATCGACACAGGTGCAGTTACATGCAGGCAAACACACTCATATGCATAAAATAAAAATAATTTTTTTATAAAAGAAAACTTCCCAGAACTAAAGAAACATATTGTCATGGAGATTGAAAACAATCCAACAAGCAGCATGAAAGTAAAACATGCCCATCCCTAGGAGCCCCATGGAAAACTTGGAGAACTTTACAGATAAGGGGAAAACTCTGAAGATTTCCAGAGAAATGACCAAAAAATATTTGTTTGGTTTTTTTTGTTGTTGTTGTTGTTGTTGTTTTTAATATAACAGTGAGGTAATTCTATACTCAATAAGTCTGGTCAACAATGAATAAGAGCACAGGGTGGTGGCCACACACCTTTAACCCTAGAAGTCAGGAGGCAGAGGCAGGCAGATCTCTGTGCATTCAAGGCCATCCTGGTCTACATAGTGAGTTCCAGGCCAGCTGGGGCTACATAGTGAGGACTTGTCTCAGACAAACAAACAGAACAACCAGCGAATAAGAGAAAACTGCTGGAATATCCAAAATAAGAAGTATAATAGAGCTAGAATTACAGACAGGTTCATTTGTTTGATCCAGCAGCTATCTACCCGAAAGAAATGGAAACAGAGACCATGAAACAAGGACGTTCATAGCACTATGTAAAAAGCCAAGACATGGTGTAAGCTGAATGTCCATCTGCTGATTAATGGTTAAATCAGATGTGGTCTAGAATATTATTTGGTGGTTAACAACAACAACAAAAAAGTACCAATACGTGGTACAGCCTAAGTGAGCCCTAAAAGCATAAGCAGTCACAAGAGACCACATATTTCTTCCCATTTGTATGGTATATTGAGAAAAGGCATATCCTAGAGAAAGAAGGTGGACTAATGATTTCCACAGACTGTGGTGGTGAGTATTAGGAAGGGGGGTTAGGGCTTAATGGAGTTTCATTTGGGGGTGATGTAATGTTCTAAAATTACTGATTATGGTCATGCATTTCTTAATATACTAAACACTCGGTGGAGGGGCACATTCTATTGCCACTCATGGTCTATCGTTTGCCCCTTGTCCTCAGGTTCTGAACTCTGGGGAGAGGAAACCTGCTGTGGGTAGTGTCTGATAGAGAGGAGGCTTTGAACAAAAAAACTTGTCTTGATACCAGAGACAGAAGACTCAGATAGATAACTACTAGCCCAACTATAACACAGTGACTTTTGTACCTAGCGACCCAAGATTGAAGGCCATTGCTATATGGAGCCTCTATTAATTCTGTACTTGTACTAGGGATCCCAGATGCCACCACTCTAATGAAGGCACGGGTCTAGCAAAAGATTCGATGAGCCAGCCCCTCAGCCCATTTCCAGATAATGCAGTAGGATTGGGGTTGCCCTGTATCTGTTCCACAATTAAGGAAAAAGAAAGGAGCTCTTTTGGAAAATGTGGCTAAAAGACTTACATTTTATACTCGTACTCATATACAGTATTGTAGTTTCCCCAGTTAAGGAATCATCACTGAAGGAAATTCATTTAACCATTCAAATCTGAAATTGGATTTGTGGAGGGGGGGGGTTAACATCCATGGACTGTGCAGTATAAATTACATATAGGAAACTGCACTACTACTTTATTATTTTAAAAACCCAGCAGTCTGTAACATAAAACATGTGTATATTTGAATATACCGTAGCATCTTTATGTTAGCAGTGTGAACAAAGAAGCTTCGCAATTGGTCATTTATGAAAGTGATGGTGTTCCAGTAGCTTTGTGGCACAGTCTGATGTTTCATTATTGATATCCATTTTTTTTTAAACAGGGCAAAGTTCTAAAACCATCAGTTCATCTCCAAGCATTGAGAGTTTGCCTGGGGGAAGAGAATCCACTGGCTCCCCACCTTTATCGGCAACTAAAAAAGATTCCTTTTTTAGCAGTATCTCACGTTCCCGCTCACACAGCAAAACCATGGGCAGAAAAGAATCTGTAAGTACTTATGGACACCTTATTTTTATCTTTCATTTTTCTTCAGAGAGGTGCATTTATGAAAGCTCCTCTTCTGCCCAGTTTTGTGAAACTCGTAAAACTTTTATGGACTAAAACAAACTATTTTTCAAAAAACATCTTTGTGTATTCGTTATGACCTAATATTTAAGACGGTAAACTCTGTTAACTGAGGAAAAACAGTAACATCAATTCCAAATAAGTTGAATCTTTTCAAATCCTCATCCTTCTGTACTCTGTCTATAAGATATTATGACACTTGAAAAAAACCCAAGCTAGTGTTTCCATTTTAAGTAGTACCTGAAAATTAAAAATAATAATTTTACCATTTTTTTTAAAAAACTATATGAACTACATTTCTGTTATGGTGTCTTGATAGTGTCTATATAGATTCTTTATATAAACTCCTCAGAATGACATCTAAAACATTAACTATTTTAATAATCTGGCCATGTATAAAATTTTTATAAACAACTTTATAAGGGCTTACCATTTAATACCATTTTAAAGTTAGCTCAGCACCTAAGCTTAATGGTCACCTGGTGGTATAATCTTACAAGGCCAGTCATATTTTGGTCCATCACTGACTGAAGTATCATTATGCAGCACATAACTGCCCTTAGCTTTCTGAAGGAAAGAATTCACTACTTGCTCTGGTTAGGGTGGCTTCCAAAGTTCAGAACTGTGGTCTATAATTGGAGCAGGATGAAACTTGCATGCAAAGTCAATGACTTTAAGGCAAATGTTGACCAGTCCTACCTTCTAAAACTCTCCTGCAAGGAGAGCTGAGGGCAGTTAAAGATAAAACCTCAAAATAGGAAACCAGGATAGGCCCATCAGCAACAGATTTGGGAGGAAACCAGATGACAGTAAACAGGTAATAAAGCTGAACCCTTAGTCAGTAGTAGAAAATCTAAGAAGGAACTGATTTAAATTGTGAGATCTTCTAGTAGCTAAGGGACTGGCAGTGATGAAGGTAGAGCAGAAAGTACAGCAGTTACTCAGAGGTCTTCTTAGAAAGGGCCCCATTCCTTTCCCCAGTCTAGCAAACACCTGGAAATTTAGTTCTCTGGGAAGTATAAACTCAAATGCCTCTCACTGAGAGATATCAGGCACATTCCATGTGGGACTGTACCATAGCCAGAGGGTGATAACTGTATTTAAATACTAAATCAGAGGAACTCACGCCCCATCTTGCACTTCCTGAAGTATCAGCATGTAACCCTCTAGGGTAATTTTCTCTAGGTAAAACATACCTACATGTACATGCACATGCACAAAGCAACAACACACTGTCCTTGAGGGTTCTCCAGAGAAGCAGGAAGTTCCTGTTACAGTGGGCCCAGCTATTGATGTGCCCCATCCAAACACAGGGCTTCCTCCTAGCTTTGTAGCTCACACTGTTCTATATGATCAAAACAACCAAGGATCATAAGACTAATGAAGAGAGCAAATGGTAATGAAAGAGAAAACAAACAGAAGAAAGCAGCTAGAAGAAAATAAGACTGTTCAGCTCAAGACAGTTTCGGACTATATATATATATATATATAGAGAGAGAG